AAAAAAAAAAAAAAAAAAAAGAGGTGATAGGAAATAAGTCTAACATAATTGGTTGCAATGCAAAAATGGAGCCTTTTATGCTAATAGAATGTTTGAATTCCACTGGAGTAATCTGATTTTTCTCTTGTAAAGAAAAATGTCACCAGTGTAGAATATAGGAGAGATGACTGACTGAGGGACAAGGAGAGACTAGAATTAAGAATGCCAAGGAAAAGATGAAAAGACAGGAGCAGGAGAAGAGAACTGGATGAAACACTAGAGACATGTTTTGGAGATAGAATAAGAAGTTTTTGACTTTGAGGGAAAAGGAGAAAATTCATGACTTGTAGTTTTGGAAATAAAGATAATAATAATTAATTTTATGGCAGATTATCTTATTTGAAAATTATCTTTATGCTCATTTCTCAAGGCTCTTTAGCTTGAAGAAAAAGCTTTAAAAAGTGAAGTATGTAATTAGCTTTTTTCCCCCTTGCCAGGAGACAAAAATGAAAGCATGAACCAAAAGATAGCTAGCTTTAAAACAAGGACATATATTATTAAGTTTATGCTTTGAATTATTTGAGAAAGGGAAGTTCTTAATTACAAGTCTGGGAACATAATTGAGAACCTGCAAACTCTAGTAAGTTCCTTCAACTTGTTTCTATCTGGTAACATTAATTCCTCCATAAAGTCATTCAGTAAAAAAACCTTGAATATTGTATTTGTCTTATATCATAAAAGGTACTAGAGACACAAATAAAATGCAATCTGTACCCTATGGTTACTTACCAACTACTGTTAGAAATAGACCAGTAAACCAACACAATAGTCTGATAAGCTTTACAGGGGCATGTAGGATAGATGTCTAAACCAGACAAGGTGTCCAAGAGAAATTTCTGGGGCAAGTTTTGTTTGAGTGAAGATTTGAAAGACAACACAGCCATCCATGAAAGGAGTCTTTTGTGCAGAGAGAACAACATGTGTGAAGATATAGAAGCCTAAAAGATCATGGAGAGTTAAGGACCAACAAGTAACTGTATAATTAGAGCCCAGTTTGTACGGGCAAAAGAAATTGGAAGGTGATAGGCCAGAGAAATAGTCTGTGAACAGAATATCAAAGACTTACTGTGCTAAGCGAAGAATTTCGTATTTCATCCTAAAAAATATTATTGTATTCACATTTTATTTCTAGAGATATAGGAGATAAAAGAGTCAAGAGAGAAGCAAGTAGACCATTGCAACAATCTCCTGATTGGTCAAGTAGGGCTTAGTAGCCTGGCATAAACAGTTAGAAATTGAGAGCAACTATACATGTAAAATCTAAAATACACAGTACACCCATGTATGTATATTAGGAGGAGGTGAGAGAAGGGAAAGGAGACTGAGTGAAAGGAAGAAATCTCGTATTTGTCATAGATATTTAGCATGGATGATCAGGTAGATAATGGTGCTGTCTAAGTAGATGGAAATTGGAAAAATAGGAGAAAGTATGGGGTGAGAAATGGAGATTTCGGCTTTTGAACACATTACCTTTTAGGCACTTGTGAGAGACTGCCAAGTGAAACTGTCTAGGAGGAAGTTGAATATATAGATCTCAAATTCTCAAGAGAAGTCTGGGTAGGAAATAAAGATTTGGTAGTCATCATTATAGAGGTTGTAACCTGAAGTAATATGTTTTCTAAAGTTATATGGGTAACTATAGAGTGAGACATCTAGAAAGCCAAGAAAACACCAGGAGGAAAAAAAGAAAAAAAAAAAAAAAAAAAAAAAAAAAAGAAGAGCCATGAAGATAAGTAGGAGCAGAGAATAGAAAATGGAAAGAGTGATTTCAAAGCAAGCCAGTACTGTCAGATGTTATCAAGAAAATAAGATAAACTGATTTTTTTTTTTATTTGGCAACATGGAGAAAGTCTGTGACAATATAGATGACATCCATTATTTTTCCCTGCCCTACAAAACTTCCTTCTTCTTTTGATAACCAAACTTCCATTTTCCTTTAGAGAACTGTCCTCCTATTATATGAAAAGACTATAAGCGTAGCTTCCCTGCCCTTTCCTGGCCAGGGGGTGGACAGGTGATCTAATCTAGACTGTCTTTTTGGATTTTGAATTTGAGTGGATTGTTTGGTAAACATGGCTATGTTGGGAACACTCTTAGATGCTTCTGTCTTTAAGATTTATAAATGTGATGACATAATGAAATAATGCAATTACAAACATATTTTCCTCTTGGCTATAACTGCAAAAATAAGGTCAAGGAAATAGCTGGTTATGAAGTTTGCTCTAACAAGTAAGATTAGCTTATTGGTATTTTCTTAGCCTAGATAAATCTCTCACTATGTGACTGATGCATTATTGAGTTAACTTAAGAACTTGTTTTCTGTTTCAAGCCCAAACATTGCACCCAGACCCATGAAAGAAAAAAAAAAAAAAACATTCAGATTAGTTATGTAATTGAGAAAATGTATCAGATCTTTTCCCAATGGCAGACCTTAAAAATATGTCAAACTTGTTTATTAAAAGTCAACAGTCTAATTATCTCAACAACAACAACAACAAAAAAAATAGTATAGTGTACTGGCTAAGGGCCCAGGCTCTAGAGCCAGGCCACCTAGGTTCAACTCACATATTCCGTATGAACTAGATATAAACAGCAAGGAGTCTCTGGGTTTTTGTTTCCCCATCTGCAAAATGGAGATGGGACTGATCTCAAGGGGGTTATTGAAAAGATTAAATAATTTAATGCAGTCTTAAAACAGTACTTAGCACATAGTATATATCAGTTACTATTATTATTGCTGATATGGTAGAAATAGGTTCAATATTTGATATGTGGAGGGCTGATGTTAAATAGAAGTAAGACCAGAGCTCTGACAAAGTCATTGTTTTCAGTTCACATGAGCTTCATTGAACTTGGGACAAATCATCTGAATTGAGGTGGATGTGGTGTGGGACAGTTCGCACACCCAGGTTTCGTTTTGAGTGTTAAATGTGTGCAAATATGAAAATTCAAGGTTAGACTTAGAGCAAAACTGCCAAGTTTTAGACTACTCATTTCAAAACTAATTATTATATTCAATTTGGGGGCAAACCCTGTTAACCAGTTTTGCTGTTTTTTTAACAAAATTTACAACAACAAACCTTTTTTTTTTTTTCTTTCCTTCTTTCATTTTGGATCCCAGTTTGTGACATATTTTCATCTTCAGTCCATACATAGCCTGTTTTTTAGCTTGACAGTTATGTTAAATAATGTAGTAATTGCCTATGAATCCACCACCCAAAACAAAAATTAAGACTTTGACAATAATCTGTATCTAACTAATGGTTCCAACCACATCCATTCTCGACTGCCATTCCATCCTCCTGGCCACCCTTGTTTGAATTTTTTGGTCAGCCTTTCTTTGCTTTCCTTTTTAAGTATTTGCTTTTACTTTAGTTATTGGCTAAAGAGAACATAATGTTTCGTGTAACATCTTGGGATATAATTTTTTTCCACTTGGTAACATCATGGATTATATCAGTATAGAAAATGACCTGAGTATTTCCTTCTTCCTGAATCTCATAATCTCCTTTTACATTAACATCCAGTAATTGCAGAATCTCTTGCCAATCGTAGCCACATCTTATAAGGTTGAAGATTAAATTCTTCTGGTCTATCCACTAGAATATACTAGGTTAACCCAAAATTTAGATTGGATATAGATTTCTTTAAACATGTCCAAATTAGGAAAAGATTTTTCTGTTGCCATTTTTCATTTCTTCAAAATCAGCAACCTGTATTGGTTATTAAGTAGGTCACCTGAATAGTTCACTGGATTTTCTTAACTTTCATCTCTTGCTTTCTCATTTTACTTTAGTGCCTGGTCTTATAAATGAGAATGTATTGTGTTTCACACAGTAGAACTCTCCTTTACAAATGAAAGGAGCAGAATAAATCATTTTACAGTGTATGCTGAACAAGTAAACATATTCTAAAATAGGAATCCTGTAGGCTCCCAAACGGCCCTGGCACAGGTACAATTAGAGAAAGTAACAATAATCAAGAATAAGTTATGGTCTTTCCTGTGAACTCTGGCTTCAATCATTGATCTCATCTGTCTCAGATGTTACTCTATCCTTAAACATCCTTTGACAGTATTTCTATGCAAAAACTTTTGTTAAATCCTTTTTCTATACTATGAATGTCAATATGTAATGTCAATATCTGTGAACTACTCTATTAGCCCCTAGCAACTTAGACAAATGTGATGCAGAGGGAGCAGCTTTGGAGAGTTTATGTCAAATGAGTTAGAGCAGTTTAGTGAGCAAATATGCCAATTTGGAAATGGAATGTTTTATCCTACTGAAGAGCTCTTTTTAAAATAAATTAGAGTCATAAAGCTGCCACAGTTTACTGTGTATAGACATGTTCAGAATTGAAACTCCTTCATGAAGGCTGCTTTGTGCAGGTATTTATCTACTACCAGTAGGGCTAATAGCTCACTTGTCTCATCAATAGAAAATCTGCTACAGGAAAATACATGGGTGAAAAAAAAAAAAACCTGGTTAAATATCGTGCTGTTATTCTGTGTGTCTGTTTAAGCTTTCCTGCAAAACAAGTTGACTTACTTAATTTGTTTTAGAAAAATAAACTCCAAAAGCCTTGAGAATAGTGCAGTCTTAAAGTGGTATTGATTTTAATCAATGTTAAAAACACTTTCAGAGGAGTAAGATGAGAAACAAGATGAACATGTTTGCCACCAATAGTGGCCAACAGTTTGTCATTGATTTGAGAACGACTCGAATAAAAACAAATCCCCTCTGTGTGTGTGTCTGTATGTGTATGTATGTGTGTGTGTAAAATTAAAGAGTGTACTTTAACACTAAAGGTTATTCTTTCTACTTTTATCCAAGCATACTAGCTTATGTTTATCTAACACATATTGAGATGGCAAATCCAGCTTTGTATCTTTTTAAAATGTTGAAGAAATTATCAGATTGCATTTTTTGTATGGTTTTACATAGTACCTCCTATGGAAGATTGTAAGGAACAAGAGCCTATTATGGACAACAATATTTCTCTGGTGCCTTTTGAGAGACCTGCTGTCATAGAGAAGCTCACAGGGAATATGGGAAAACGTAAAAGCTCCACTCCACAAAAGTTTGTGGGTAAGCATTACAAATGATTTTACTTCAAAGGTGGTTTTAATGAGAAGTATGTTCCCATGTATTAGAACTACAGATGGTATATTTCAGTTCAAGAGGTAAATACCCATCTCTTTTGTCCATTCTTAATTTCTGCTTTATGCTGTTCCATGTGTACCTCCCTCCCTCTCTTTCTTTCTTTCTTTCCTTTTTCTTTCTCTCTCTCTCTCTCTCTCTCTCTCTCACACACACACACACACACACCTTTAGATATATGGGCCTAGGAAATTAAAGAAAGACTGATAGAAGTTGCTACCTCAAAACTAAATTATAAAGTACACTAGTATGTAAAAATGTCCATTTATTTACAAAATAAAAATACTTAAGGAGAATGGTGTCATCTGTTAGCCAGTTTTGTGATGTTTTCCAATTTGCACTAGTTCTAGGTCTTTAAACTGTTTTCTTTACATGAGATTAATGCTTTTACTATTTTATCTAGAATTAAGAGAAATATTTTCCCCCAAAATGCTGCATTAGAAAAATAATGCAGCAACCTACATTCAAGATCTTGCATATTTGGATCTTTGTTTTCATCTGGCCTATGGTTTTGAAACAAAAAGATTAAATATAATGTATTTAGACTTTTCTTTTTCATTTCCAAGCCCTTAGATGCAAAAAACATCTAAGTTTTTTAAGAATGTATAAAAGATAGTGGGGTGCCTGGGTAGCTCCATTGGTTTTAAGCCTCTGACTCTTGTTTTCAGCTCAGGTCAGGATCTCAGAGTTCATGGGATTGAGCCCTGTGTAGGGCTCTGTGCTGACAGTATGGAGCCTGTTTACAATTCTCTCCCTCTCTCTCTGCCCCTCCCTTGCTCGCATTCTCTCTCTCCCTCTCTCTGTCTCTCTCAAAATAAATAAAATTTAAAAAAGAATACATAAAAAATAGTGATTCTATATAAAGAATTGCCATTAATTATATATGTAATATATTCTTATAGATTTTATTACTATAAAGGGTAAAAATTAGAAGAGAAAAATATTCAAATAGATTCTCATATTCTATTGTCAAAGAGTATTGTGGAACATCCTGATATGGGTTGAGTGATGATTGGTAGAAAATCTTTGGTTATTTCAGGGAGGGAAGGCTAATAAAATTCTTTTACTCCAATAATCAATCACTTAGAGAAGATATCCTTTCAATCTGAAATCGCAGAACTAACAAATCACCAAAATATCATTTTAAGACAAGCTGGAGAAATTTATTGACAGAGCTCTTTGAAAAAAAGACTAGAGAATGGCCCTAAGGGATCACAGTTGATACTGATATAGTATCAGGAATACTGCAAGAATACTCAAAAGCTTGCCTTGGGCCCTAACTTTTCTTCCAGTCTTTCTTCCTTTATATAAATGTTTTGTTTTTTTTTTTTATGTCTTCTGAATCTAGTTTTGTTCTTTGTAACATTTTCAGTGTTTACTATGACTTAGAGATGCTATTCTCAATTTGATTTGATTATATCCTTAGAAAAGGGGGACAGGTTTTTTCCTAATTACATCTTGATTTTAAAATAATAACATTAGATTCTTATTAGGAATTTAATGGTATTTTTTTCTTTATTTGGATTATCCTTTCGAGTAGTATATAAAAAGCAATCACACATTGTCTCTGTGATGGTTTTTGAAATGAAAATTTCATCACTCCACACTCACTATAAATTCCTTTTTACCATGCCCCTCGGTTAAATACTATTCTTTGACCTTTTCAAGCCCTACAGACCAATGATCCCTGAACTTTCTATCTTTTTGTGTTCTCCTCTCTTTTTATTATCAGCTTAGATTCCATGGTTAATCATGTTTATTACTCTGTTGCCAATATTCTTGACTCTCTTACTTTGTTGTCTTTCTATCACCTTCTCCTAGTGAAACCCCACTAGGAAACCCCACTCTATTGAAAGCAGAGAAGCATCTGTCCCATATCTACAGGGCTGCTAGTACTTTTGGAGAAAAGCCCACAGCCTTACAAATTGGTCACTATGAATCAGTGAATAAGTGATCTCAAATATCAGTTGTTCCATCCACATTGTAGCAGTCCTACTTTGATCCCATCCCTGCATAGTCCTCTCTCCTGCTGAACCCTATAGCCATTTCAACATTTATTCTCCACAAACACGGTATCTCACTTCTTGATGGTATTCTAGCTCAATTTACAGGGAATAAAGTCTTTTGAAATGTTATCAATATTACGAATTTTATAAGGATTAAGTGCATTTATAGGAATATTTTCTTTTTTTCCTCCTTGTTTCAATGAAAGAAGTATCCCTCTTTTTAATTAAGGTTAATTCCTCTTCTTGTGCCCTGGAATTCTTCTGTCACAGCCTCCCCCCCCGCCAACCCAATGCATTACATTTCATTATTCCTTTTTCTCACTTGTATTTTCAGTCTTTTCCCTCTATTGGCATTTTCCTTTTAGTATTTAATAAGATAAACTCTCATCATTTAAAAAAAAAAAATTCCCTCAAAACCAAATCTCCTTCCTGCTACTACCTACTTTCTCCTCTTCAAAAAATGGAGTGGTTGAAAGAGTTCTCTATGCTTGCTTTCCATAATTTCTTTCTTTCTACTCATTCCCTAGTCTATGCAACCTGGTTGTCTTCCCCATGAAATGATTCTTATCAACGTCGCCAGCTTCCATAGTGTCAAGTGCAGTGGACCCTTTTTAGACTATCTTATATCAGTCAGAACATTTGCCACTCCTGAATAATTAATTGCTTTTGAAACACTTCTTTTCTTGGTATCCATGACATTGATCTCTTGCATTTCTTCTAGCTTCTCTGCTCCTTCTCAGTCTTCATTATGAATCTACCCTTAACAGCTATGCAGATGGGGCAAAAGTACTAATGAAGGCCTCCATTCATATGCCTAAATATTTGAATATTTTAAATTAAGCTGAAAATTATTTTTTTAAGTTTATTTATTTTGAGGGGGGGAGGGGAAGGGACAGAGAGAAAGAGAGAGAGAATCCCAAGCAGGCTCCGTGCTGACAGCGCAGAGCCTGATGCAGGGCTTGAAATCACAAACCACAAGATCATGACCTGAGCTGAAACCAAGAGTCAGATGTTTAACCACCTGAGAGACCCAGATGCCCCTAAGCTGAAAAACTATTGTTCTACCTTCCTAACTTGGAAGACTGAGTTCAAATAAATATAGAATGCTTAGATCCTTTAGAGTTCCACACCAGACCTTGACAGCATGAGCAGAACCACTGCCTGACCTGGAGCCAGCCCTCTCTCTTAGACCTACTTCTGTTTCTTTCCAGTACCAAAAGGGGCCTCATGCATATGCATGTGGACACCTCAGCCTTCACATTCAGCTTCTTTTCACATTGCACCCCACACGCAGCACATAAAGAGTAGTGTATTAGCCTCTCCTCAGGCCTAAGTGTGTGCATACCAGGAAGATAGACCATATGAAGAGGACTATGCTAACCTTTAGTGCAAACTCAGTGCCATTTGGGAAAGGAATTCTTCAGTCTTGGGTATCCAGGGTATGGTCTAGGGAGTAATCTCCAGATAGGCATATTCCTTTGGCTCTACACATTCCTCATTCCATGAGGAGCAAGGGACTCTGTAAACATGGGGCCCAGTGCAGGAATCCAACTTGCCTTGGTCTGTGGGCAGGCATAAAAATCTTGGTGTTCTCCCAGGTTCTATTTTTGACCTTCTCATCTTCACACTTTACCAATGCTTGGGTTATACCTTTTATTCTCTTGGCTTCAGAAGTTACTTTCTATCAACTGATGACATGTATCTACATCTCAAGCCCAGATCTCTCTTCTAAATTTGAGACTCTACTCAGCAGTTACTGGACCACGACTATTACTCATAGTTTTCCGAAATTGAATTCATCATCTTTTCTATCTGCTATCCACTAAGTTTCCCAGATAAGAAACGGGCTCCATGCTTAACTTCTTTCTTTTTTTCATTCTAAGTCTAGATAATCACCAAGCCCTAGAAACTATATTTTCTAAATTTCTCTCCATTTCATTGGGTTTTCTCCATTTCCACTACCACTATACTAATTCAGGCCACCAGATCTTTATAGCAATAACCTCCTAAACCATCTTTATAAATAAATATCTAGTCAAGTCACTTTCCCATTTAACCCTATTAATCTGTATTGCTCTCAGCATGAAATTCAAATTCCTTAGCTGTTGAATGAGCCTTATTATCTTCTCTTTCTCATCTATTTCCACTGTCAGCTATATACTGAAATTTAAGTAATCCCTTGAACAAGCTATACCCTCTTGCCTCTGAGCTTTCCTACCAGCTGCTCCACCCCCACATTCCTTTACTTGGCTAATATTTGTCATCACATTCTTATCTCTGATGCTACTTTCTTCAAGAAGTCTTATTTTACTCCCTTAATATATATTCCTTTTATTTGGCCTCATAGCACATATCACACTGTATTATAAATGATTCCTAAATCACTGTCACTCTCTCTAAACTGTAAGCTCCTTGAGAATATAGATTAGGTTTGTCTAGTTTAACTTTTTAAGTCTTAACATTGCAGTATCTTAAATTGGATGCCATGAGATCAGGTCTCATCATTTTTTTCTTCCATTTTCATTACTCCGATTATAACCCTAATCTCACTTTGGGGACCTCTTTTCAAACCTGAAATAATACTAGTGATCCAAAAGTGCTTTTCCAGAATGCAGTTCTGTAGATAAACATTTTTTTATCAACATTACAAAGTAGGCATCCATCTATAATAACATACTAAACATTTATAAGAAGTCCACATATATTGTTAAGAAGCCTTTATCTGTAAGATTTACCTATGCAAGTAACCAGGCAATTAGTAGGAGACCACGTTGTTTTAGTGGCAGAATTTTAAAAAGATAAAATACACCATCCAAAGCTGGAAACATTTAAAGGAGAAAAATTAAAATGATTTCTCCTGCTTTATGCACAAGGCTCTTTTATGGTTAATCTTTAGACACTGTGTTGAAGTAAAATACTGATTTGTTGAAGTAGATATTAAAGGGAAAACTACAAAAATACTTCAATCAAGATAAAGCATGGAAAACTAACAATGGGTGTACATATCAGCACCATTGCCCATATGTCTAAACAAGGAAGGGATGGTGTAAAAATGATGAATTCCCCATTTCAAGAAGCAAAACAACAAACATATTATTTTCCAAGTTTGTAAACAAACTACTTGTGGAAATAACTCCTGTTTTTAAATAGTCCTAAATTCCATTCAGTTTATCAAACAATACAGCTTTTAACAGTGTTTTAATGGTGTCATCTTTGAATTCTCTAGGGTGACAAATGCCGGCTCTATAATTTTTTTTTTTTTTCTAATGTAGCAGTTAAATCAACCAAATTAACCATATATAACAATGAAGTGACAGATGTTATAATCAGATCACTCTCGCTTTTATGCTCTTTGTGGCTTGGTCACTGATGTCTAAAATATGCAAAACAAGCATAGTCTCTGACTTATTTTCACCTGGTATTTCTGCTTTTGCCTACAGTTGCTGAGCTCTAGACAAGTGGAAATTCTAATTGAGAATGAAAATAGGATAACACACTCAATCATACCTTTCTGGCTAGATGCATTTTCATGATGGCATTAAAACAAGTGCAAATGGCTTGTGAAATTCTTATTACTAATCCTCTTTGCAGGCTGAGAGTATTTGAGTCTTAGCAGAATTAAAGAGCACAAATGCTTGATCTAAAGAATATCATATTATAGAAAATGGAGACAATTAACTTTGTACATTTATATTTTAATCCAGTCACTAATTTTGTTGTATTTTGTTTGTTTGTTTTTTTACTTTTCTTGCCCTCCCCCTTTCAGGGGAAAAGCTCATGCGATTCAGCTACCCAGACATTCACTTTGATATGAACTTAACATATGAAAAAGAGGCTGAGCTAATGCAGTCTCATATGATGGACCAAGCCATCAACAATGCAATCACCTACCTTGGAGCTGAGGCCCTTCACCCACTGATGCAGCACCCGCCAAGCACAATCGCTGAGGTGGCCCCGGTTATAAGTTCAGCTTATTCTCAGGTCTATCATCCAAATAGGATAGAAAGACCCATTAGCAGGGAAACCTCCGATAGTCATGAAAACAACATGGATGGCCCTCTCTCTCTCATCAGACCAAAGAGTCGACCCCAGGAAAGAGAGGCCTCTCCCAGCAATAGCTGCCTGGATTCTACAGACTCAGAAATCAGCCATGATGACCACCAGTCCTACCAAGGAAACCCTGCCTTAAATCCCAAGAGGAAACAAAGCCCAGCTTACATGAAGGAGGATGTCAAGGCTTTGGATACCACCAAGGCTCCTAAGGGCTCTCTGAAGGACATCTACAAGGTCTTCAATGGAGAAGGAGAACAGATTAGGGCCTTCAAGTGTGAGCACTGCCGAGTCCTTTTCCTAGACCATGTCATGTACACCATTCATATGGGTTGCCATGGCTACCGGGACCCACTGGAATGCAACATCTGTGGCTACAGAAGCCAGGACCGTTATGAGTTTTCATCACACATTGTTCGAGGGGAGCACACATTCCACTAGGCCTTTTCATTCCAAAGGGGACCCCTATGAAGTAACAAACTGCACATGAAGAAATACTGCACTTACAATCCCACCTTCCCTCAGACGTCGACATACCTTTTATTTTTGTTTGTTTAATATTATTACTGTCATTAATTCTTATTTTGTGGATGCAGTGTCATTTACTCTGCCTAATTACAATAAGGAAGAAACAGAAGAGAGAAGGGACAGGGGATATTGTTCTTGGTAACGTGGGAATTTAAGAGCAGTTCATTTCTGCCATGAATAAATATAAGGTATATCATGCTTTGGAAAAAAAATCACTTGATTCATATAGGTTCACCTAAGAGATTCTAATTTGCCACTGATGTTCAGGATTATGATTGAAGGCAAGGAAGTTTGGAGTTTTCTGTGTAGAACTTCCACAGTTTAAAGTGGTATAAGTAATTTTACTCTTCAAAGAAGAAACTGTTTCAAAATGTAAACTTTTTTTTTTTCCTCTAGAGATCATGAAACACAAACACATGTGTTAATTTCAGTGATAATCCTTGGATGAGTTGTTGTGGGTTCTATGTTTACTTCCCCAATGGAATTTATAATACGGTATGTTATACGCTGTACCATATAGCAAAACTTGTAAACTACAGGTAGTTGAGGACACCTACAATACATCTGAGGTCCTGTGATCTAATTTTTCTAAACTTAAGCACTGTTTTCCATAGTTTTGATGACTGGTATTTTATAGACACCCTGGCAGCCTTACTTTTAACACCTTTAATGAGTAGTATTTTTATCTAGTTTTAAGAATAACATATGGTCTAAGAGTGGCTAAGAGGCAGTCAGTAGTTTCCAGAAAGGACCTCTGCTTTTCATAAATTTGTTTTGGAAGTCTTCTTTTAAAGTTGTAATGTGATGGCGGCATAGTGTACATAATTGTTTCTAAAAGTATGCTTACGATTGTCACTTTATCAGCATTTAATCAGTGTTAACCAGTCAGCAGAAACATATAATTAGGCTAACAGTAGGAGTAAAAAAACCTACTCAGAAATCCCTTTTCTGGTATTTCTCTTTTCCCACTGATTTTTTCAAGCTGTGACCACCCAGTGTTCTGTCCATAGTCCATCATCCTTTACTACTTGAGTAGAAGATCATGAAACTCTTTGCTATAGGTTTTTGCTCTCAAAATCTCGGAGCAATTACTAATTCGACCTGAATATGGTAACTTGAACCCCATAAGGTTATGGAACTAGGGCTATTTATTCTAGTATTTCTTGAATAATAACATTTACCACTTTTGGTGCAAGGAAAAGGGAACTTCTTTGTAACCTGTACATTAGACCACAGATAAAAAAACAGCTTATTTTTTACACTTTTTGGGGTCTAGAATGTAACCTAACCTCCAAGCAAAAGTCACCATGTCCTGCACAGTTTTCCATCTCAAACACATTCAACTACTTGTAAGTCCTTGTCAGAAATGAATCTCAGTACCTTAGCAAAACAAAACAAAACAAAACAAAAAAAACCTCTTAATCCATACATGTTATCATTTTTCATGTGCAAATTTTTTATTTCATTTATAAAAAGGTGCTCTGTTTTTTATGTGCAGTCCAACAGCATTAGAGGGAAGGGAAAAACGAGATCAATTCAAGTCATTTTGGGGGGACATACCTGGATACAGAAATTGCTGCTTGTGTTGAGGGAGGACAGGCCTGACCATGGCTGGATTATCTGATAGCCATTTATGAGTACTGATTCTGTTAAGCAGTAACTGATAACTGCTCTTAAAAAAATAATTAAATAGGAGGCTGAAACTATGTTTTTAATGCAGAATGATGTGAGAACTAGCAAAATTAGAGACTTAAGGACAGAGAAGCAAATCCGGCCCCAATACTGCTCTTGACTCATCTTCTCACTTATCATCTGCTTATTTAAACAGCTTCTGAGCACTAACACAGCTAGAGCTGGGCAAAGACGATTTTAACTCAGCTCTCCTTTACTCGTTCCTCTTATAATTATTTTTGGAGAAATGTCCAAACTAGTCCTTTAAATCTAAGAGAATGCACCAAAACAGAGACATGAAACGTTTTAAATAGAATATTGTTTTTTTTTCCCCTCCTGCATGCTTTGGTACATGGTGAACACACAATTTATTCAAAGGTAAAGTATGCTTTTGAGACTTCCTTACCTCCCCCTACACTAACCAGTCAAAAAATTGGAATTTCATATTTTTTTCCCTTTTGGAGGAAGGTAAATAATGTAAGTTACTGATTTTGTGTTTTACTGCAATTTAAGGAAATGTGGATGGCAGTGTGTTCATAACTTTGGCTGTGTGTGGATTTCTGCTGGCATCATCTATGAATTTTCTTCCTGTTCACTATTTGTTTTTTTCAGTGTATGAACAATCATGTGTCTACCTACCCTGGGATGAAGCTGAATTTTAGGTGGACCTAAAGAGTTGTGTAGTACCCCCATGAAGACAGTACTCCTTTTCTGATTTCATCTGTTTGAGAATCTACTTTATCAAAGGGACAATATTTGTGAGAGTGTATTTGCTACAAGTGTATACTTGTACTTTCTTAGCTACATGATATGAGGAACAGAAAGAGATAAAGATGGCTCAGGGTGTGGCAGGGACAAATGAGGACGAGGTCAATTCAAATGTGCAGGTTAGAATTTTTGTGGGCATGGTGCTTTCTGGGAAACTCTAAATGGCTATATTTGCATGCTTCCTTCTTCACAAAAGGAAATATGCAAGTTGGTAGGGCCTAAAAATAAATATGAGGGTCAGACACCAAATAAATCAAATTTTACATAACAGTTATATGCCCAATTTATTTAGGTGAGATTTCACATTAGAGTACTGGAGGGGCATAAAAAATGGGTTAGCCCCTTTCTTCTGGTTTGGCAAAAATTCAGAAATTCATCACATTGCTTTGCCCTGATTTTGCCCAGAAATTTACCTCCAGCTCCTGTTGGAGATGTGTGCTGCCTCTCTAATAGTGGTCAATCACCTTTAAAAAGCCATTCTAACCTGGCTTTTTAGAACGGTGAAGATGACCAATAAGTTTGGAAGAGATTTCGAGTCGTTAAAACATTCCGTTGAGAATTTTCTGGAGGGACAGAACGCGAGAGACCAGGATTTAGATTTGGCTACAAAGTAGAAAATGGTTTTCCTCCATGCATACAAGCAATTGTATGTGTGTGTCAGTGCGTGCATGTGTGCATACACACATACACACTCCTTTGAAGTAAAGTCATGAAAAGAAGCAATTAGAGTCACCACATGTCTTGCAAGAGCACTTAAAGAGTTAAAATTAGTTAATACCTGAGAAATTTAGTAAACTTACTTTACCAGATTGTATTAAGAAATATTAAAGAAGTTATTAGTATGTCTTTAGGACTAGTTCAACTATTAAACTAAAACCTTGGGCCTTTACAATCTACTTGCAGAATGAATCTAAACAAACAAGAAAAGGATTTTTAAGCTGATTTGGTATAACTTCCAAAACGAAGGAAACAAAAATAACTTTTGAATAGGAAGATACAAAAAAAAAAAGATTAATTTTTATGTGTTGGCAAATGGAAAAAGACAATATTTTAGTGACCTTGATGTTTTGATTTATAGTTACCATGTCTCAACTCTACACCTCACAAAACTATGAAGTCTTTATGATATGTTGACATCAGTGAAGGCATTTAGATGAAATTATGTTTTAACTGATTTTCCAAATGTTATGTCATCTTATCTCCAAAATGATTCTGTAAAGTAGAAAAAGAACAGAAAAAGCTGCAAAAATACAAACAAACAAACAAAAAACTGTATGCCCCTAGTTTCAAGAGAGAACTTAGATTATAAGAGGTACTGACTACATTTTTTTTTTTTTTACTTTGAAATATTCATTGTACAAGAAGAGATACATTACATTTGTGGTCCTCTTTAGTTATATTTTATATATTATTTTTAGTAAGTACTATCTGTATAAGATTATCCAAAAAAATTCCCCAAATGCAAAAGAAAAGAGTAGGGGTGAAATTAAAATTTGTATATATGAGAGTTATCTCAGAAATGTTTTTAAACCTCCAGTTTCTGCAAAATAATTAAAATATACAGTAACTGGTATCTTAAGATCCTGAGTTTAATGTATTAAATACTTATAAAATTTCTTTATATTGGTGCCTTTTTAAAATGCATTGAGAGAGTGTTGGTTAGCTGTTGTAGCTCTACAAACACTTTTATTATGTATTTTTAAAAACCACTTAAATTTGAGTACTATGTAATACATCTTCATGTTCTTAGGGCAAAACTGTTAGAGGAAGTTCCAATCAGAGAATTTCAGCTCATCTGTTTAAAGTAAAAGGAAACTTTGCAACCAGATTTTAATCTTATTAGTTTGATAGTATTTCTGAATACCATTACAAGATCATGTAGGTAAAATATGGCATAGAGGGAAATTTCAGCTGTGAATTGCATTATGGTATGTGGTTTTGTTTTGTTTTTAAGGAAGAATCAGTTCTAGTATCACACAGGCTTTATTAGTGGAATTTTGGTCAATAAAATACAGTATTGTTTTGAAATTTCATTTATAGACTAGTGTTGTCCTAGTCTGAGAATCTGTCTCCTAATCTATTAATGTTTTATGGAATAAGGTAAAGAAGCAGGTAATTAATTCTCCTTGAACAAAACAAAACTGAATAGTCATATCACATTGCTATTCTCCAAAACATAATCTCAAATGGTTTCCTGCCATGATTGTGTATTACTTGCAATGGATGTGTTAGGATATGACAGCTTTTAAAAAATAAATAAATAAAAATGAGCTGCTTGTTATACAAAGCAAATGTCATATGACCAAGAAGCTGTGATATGCTAGTGTTTCTTTTTATCATAGTGTATTGCTAGGCCAAATAATGACACCTTGAATATTTTTATTACATTTATTGCAGTAACCTAAAGTTTTGGGATTTCCATAAGGTTTTTATGTAACATTATATTTCTAGCTTTTTAGTTTTCTCTTGCTGTA